GAGGGCAGGCATCCTGCATGTTTTAGTTTTCTCCCTAGTGGTTATAACAACGTCCTCAGCAAGTCAATGTTCTCCTTAGGCCTTCTAACGAGCCATCATTTGATGCAGGTGTGCTAGACCAGGGAGAGAACTAAAACATGCAGGATGCCTGCCCTCGAGGACTGACTTTGGACACTCCTGTGATACACCAAAACTCACAATTACTTTAAATATATATATCTTTTGTTATATTTTTCACCCCTGGAGGTTGTCATTTTTTCACATGTGCTATGCATGCTGGGTTAATGACGTGGTTGGATCCGTTCTGTACTGGAGTAAACACAGGAACGCTAACTTTACCCGAGTTATAGTAAAGTTATTTGTAGTCAAAGATAATTGCAGACTTTATTGTGTTTGACAGGTGTAAATTTATACAATACTACACTATGTTGCTGTTGGCTGTAACTAAAACAAAATTGTGAGGTGAGGCTAGATTGTTTCCCACATGAAATAAAGAAGAGCGCAGTGGAGAGAGCCAAACACAACTTCTGAAGGACCCATTTGTGCCCTCAACATTTCTCTCCAGAATACATTCAATCATTTGTATGAGCAAAACTGGGAAGGCTCTAACAGCTGTTTAGTGTCTGGTCTTTGGTCTGGTATCAGGTCTGTGGTTTCATATGTACCGGCGGCAGTAGCAATAGCTCTGTCATCATTTATAAGAGCTTCCAACATAGCCTGTCTCTGATGTTTTTCCCTGCATCTTTGGTTTGATAGCCTGCAGCAGAGTTTATGTGCTTTGTGGATAAAAACTGTCGGCATGGCATTTGGTTTTAGCTTGCGAGGGTTAACTATAACCTGTTAGTGGACGGGACACAAAAATACATACCTACTTACCGGATCCCACCTTCTGACCAGAGGTATTTGTCATTCATTGTTTGAAGCTGAAGTTTGTGACAACAGTAGCACAAACACCAGCTTCTTCAGCCAACTCTGTCCTTTTTCTCCATTTGGTCCTCCCAATCTACATTATTCCTTGTGATTTCGACATTCCCATCAATTTAAACGTGCTCTGGTTCAAAATAAAAGGTTTAAAGACATTGGTCTTTGCTGCCTTGGCTGGAAGAAGCTGGTGCAATCGGACCAAGCATTCATCATTTACCCAGAAGGCATTGCAGCGTAAAACATGGTAACGTCTGTGTCACAATATTTTATTGAAATTTATAAATACTAAACAGCCTGCAATATTTACTCAGATGTTTTTCCATATAAAATAAATATTTCTCACGTACAGTCTATTGTTACAATTAATTGTGGATCCCTTTAAGAGAGAAAGAGAAAACAGAGACATTATTCTAGGAACACAAATACCACTACAACTAATAATATTTTTCTTTAACAGGGATGATGTCTTCTCACCACAAAGGGGTTCCAGGTCAAATGTGAAAAGAATTTTAATAGTGATTACAGATGGACAGTCTCATGATCGCAGTCAATTACCAGCAGCAACACAGTCAGCTGATCAAAAAAACATTCTTCGATTTGCTATTGGGGTAAGTAGCATCTATGATTTTTTTTTTGTTGCAAATACGTGTAAATGTTTATATGTTTATTGTCTGCTTGAGTGCAACAAATTGCAATTTCACACTGCAAAAAGAGTTATTAGCTTTGATTGTAACTGCATTGTTATACATTAATTTGTAAACCAAAACTGTCAAATATATAACTATAAAAACACAGAATTTTGCTTCCCCCACCCCCTCTAAACATCTTCAGATAAAATTTTACATAAATTCTGAACTTTAATTTTATTTCTGAAACCATTTATTGTACTGTATTTAAAAAAGTGTTACACTTTGAGTGCTATGGCTGATCTTAACTCAAAGACATGAAGAGAATATTTAAATTATGACGTGTTTTGAAAAGAACTACTGCAGCATAATGATTTACTCACATTGTATTTACACCTCTAGGTGGGGAGCGCATTCACATCTTATAATGCAAAACAAGAGCTCAGAACGATTGCATCTCAACCTGCTGACAATTTTGTGTTTGAAGTGGGAAGCTTTGATGCTCTTGACAAAATACGGGACAACTTGCAGGCCAAAATTTTTTCCATTGAAGGTATAAATGTATAATTTAACATTTGAAACTCTTGTTTCATTTTTCAGCAAGATGATCATATTTTGATTCATGGCTAACAGTGGCTACTTACAAATATGAATCACAATTTTATTAAATTACAAAGTAATTAATACATCTAAGTTATTGTTGTGCTCTGTGGTGTAGAGGAACTCTAAAGAACTCTGTAAAATAATATTTAATTTGTTTTGAATTTACAGGATCGCAAAGTGGTGGAGAGACGCTGAAACAGGAAATGTCTCAAGAAGGCTTCAGAGCAGCTTATGTGTCTGGGGTAAATAAAATAAAAGTAAAATAAATAAAAGTCTTACGGTCTTACAGCATTAAAAGCAACCCATATTTGAAATAAAATGCTCTCTCTATTCTTGCATTACAGTATATTCAGATGACTATGGTTGGTGCTAACCAGTGGAAAGGAGGCTACAAGAAATACTTGCTTAGTAATGTTTTAAACAACGTCACATTTGAGCCATCGTCCATTGAGCCTGACAGTTACCTTGGTAAGAACAGGACAGAAATTTGTCGCTTTCTGTGCGATTTCAGAATAAGTCAGACCCAGACAGCTGCTGTTTGTCTATTAAAAGCCAAGCGTAGATATTTCAATCTGTTTCACAAAACATTTAAACTTTCTGAAAAACTATTTTCCCTGATGTCTCTGACTATTTAACCATTGAACTCCAGGTTATTCCATGGCTGTTGCTAAAACCGTTTATGGTCCTCTGACAATTCTTGGTGCTCCAAGAAATGAACACAAAGGAGTTGTTATGACAGCTTTCAATGAACAACTTAGAGATCAAATCAGACCCTTTGAATCACAGGTAGGTACAGTTGAAATTTACATATATTCAATGAAAAGACAGAACTATTTTTCCTCTTTCTGGCATTAAATTAAAACAAACTATTTTTGTTGTGGATCAGCTCTGAAAGCCAAAGCTATTTCTATCTGCTAAATACAAAATTGATCAATGTTTTAGAAATTATTTTTCCAAATTCAGAGGCTCAGATACATTTTCTTTGTACTTACCAATTAAGTTGTACACATGTTGACATTCTTAGTGACAAAGGGAATTATTGAACAGAGGGTAGGGTCAGAGTTTCAAGTGACTTGTGGTCCATTAGTTAACAACATACTTGTTACTGAATGCTACTCCTTAATTACTGTGATCAGATTATAAGACCAACTGTGTAAAAAATGAAGGTTTCTTTCTGATGACCATTTCTTCTTGTTTTCTCCAGACTGGTGAATATTTTGGGGCTGAGGTTTGTGCCATGGATGTGGATTCTGATGGTGTGACTGATCTAATCCTCATATCCTCTCCGATGTACAAAGACGTTGATAGAGAAGGACGAGTTTATGTCTGTGAATTAAATCGNGAAGAAGATTCTAGATTGACTTTGATGTCCAAAGGACAGTACAATTCTTTGAAGTTAGATTATTGTTTATTATCTTTTTTACTCAGTTTGTACAGATAAAAAGAGCTACACTACTACCCTCGTCTTTAAGATATTGTAAGGAAACTAAAAATATTTATTTTTGTCTACTTCATAGTTGCACAAATGATAAAAAAAGCAAATCAGATGAAACTACTTAATAAAATATGAGAAAAGTAGATTTAAAATAAGATTATATCTGCGCACTTAATGGATGACAGTGGGTTAAAATAAAGAAAATGTTTTTAGTCAAAGATATTTGCAGCCCCTATATGCTAAGAAGAGCTATATAAAGTATTTTCTGACCAAGTTGGTCAGACTTTATACATATGTAGCCTCTAGAGTGGTGAGACTTAAATGAATATATAATAATAATATATTGAGTGTCCTTACGACTATTACTGCTACTTGTTAAATACTGTGGCTTGTGTTTTTTTGATTATTTTTAAATCCTAAATAACATTTCAGTATTTCTGAAAACCACAACATTAATAAAATAAAGGCTACAGCATGTAGGATGGAAACAAACCAACACAGCTTGTTCACACCACATTTCTTAAGAGAGAAAACAGAGGCAGTGTTGGAGGAACAAGAATAATAATAATATATTTTTTAACAGGAATGATGTCTTCTCACCACAAAGGGGTTCCAGGTCAAATGTGAAAAGAATTTTAATAGTGATTACAGATGGAGAGTCTCAGGATCGCCAAAATTTACCAGCAGCAACACAGTCAGCTGATCGAAAAAACATTCTTCGATTTGCTATTGGGGTAAGTAGCATCTATGATTTTTTTTACAATTACATGTAAACATATGTGCTTATTGTCTGTTATAGTACAACACATTACATTTTCATACTGCAAAAAGCGTTATTAGCTTTCATTGTAACTGCATTGTTATATTTTCATTTGTAAACCAAAACTGTCAAAAATATAAAAGCATAAAAACAGAATTTGTTTTTTTTTCCTCCTCAAGATCTTCATATAAAATTTCACATAAATGCTAAACTTTTATTCCTAAAACAATTTCTTGTACTGTACTTAAAAGCAGAGTTAATGACTCAGTGCTAGTTTTTATGACTAATCTTGACTCAAAAACTTTAGGAGAAAATGTAAATTACGACTGCTTTGAAAAGAACGACTGCATCATAATGTTTCACTGACATTGTATTTACACCTCCAGGTGGGGAACGCATTCACATCTAATTATGCAAAACAAGAGCTCAGAACAATTGCATCTCAACCTGCTGACAATTTTGTGTTTCAAGTGGGAAGCTTTGATGCTCTTGACAAAATACGGGACAACTTGCAGGCCAAAATTTTTTCCATTGAAGGTATAAATGTATAATTTAACATCTGAAACACTTGTTCCATTTTTCAGCAACATGAACACATTTTGTTTCATAGCTAACAGTGGCTACTTACAAATATGAGCACAATTATATTAAACTACTAAGTAGTGACTTTATTTAAGTTATTGTTGGTTCTATGGTGTACAGGAACTCTAAAGAACTCTGTAAAATAATATTTAATTTGTTTTGAAT